AATGGAAAGCTGACAAACACAACGCAAATCTTCAATATGGACAAAACCTCACAATTCTAAAAACAGCCAAAAGACTTTCATCAACAAGGAGGCCAAATCAATGCAAGGTTTCAGGATTACTTGAGTAATACCTCGCCCAGGCAAAGGCTGCAATTGAGGAGGAAGGGGCTGATACATTCTGGAAGGATTAGGCTTATGATTGCATCAAGAACCTTGCTTGGACTTGCTGTACATTACCAAGGTTGTAAAAGGTACCTGGAAGAATTCAATGGATGTTCCAAAGTTAAGTTGGTTGCAAAAATCAATAAGGCGTTGGTTGAGGTGGCACACTGGTTGAGTGTGGACTGGGATGACATTTTTAAGAACACCTAGAAGTGATTCCCCAGGAGCTAACTCATGAGTCCTGGGACTGGAATCATATTGCTAGAGGCAAGACAAAGGGAGCTGCAGGAGAAAATCCCCAACAAATTTATCTTTGATACGCAAAAGCTTTTTAATTTGATGCAATCCCATTTCTAAGCTCTCAATTTTATTTCCTAGGGAATTGGATGCTGACTCAGAAAGAAACAGAATGAAGAATCAAGAAACCTACCAGGTACTGGTGGCTCACGCCTGTAATACTAGCTACTCAGGAGGCTGAGATTTGAGGATTGCTGTTCAAAGCCAACCCTGGGCAGGAAAGTCTGTGAGACTCTTATCTCCAATAAACCACCAGAAAACCAAAAGTGGTGCTGTGGCTCAAGCAGTAGAGCGCTTACCTTGGGCTGAAGAGATGAGGGACAGTGCCCAGGCCCAGAGTTCAAGCCCCACAACTGACAAGAAAGAAAGAAGAAACACCTAGAGAATGGGAGAGAAAAAACTGCTAACTCTTCAGGTAAGAACTGATATATATATCCAGAATATTAAACACAAAATCCAAATAATCAACTAATATTGGCATATAAATTGGCTAGACAGTTCTCAGATGTGTGTGTGTGTGTGTGTGTGTGAGAGAGAGAGAGAGAGAGAGAGTTCAACATCCTTAGCCATAAAGGAAATACAAACAAAAACAAGACTGATAATGCCATGTTACCCCAGTCATAATAGCAATCATCAAGAAAACAAACAGTAAATGTTGGTGAGAATGCTGAGCAAAAGGAACCCCCTCCCCATATAGTTGGTGGAAATATAAACTAGGACAACATCTATGACTTAGTCCCTCTTGTGTACAACTTGGGGTTAGCGTTTTTTTGTTGTTTGGTCAGTCCATGGAGCTTGAACTCAAGACCCGAGTGCTGTCGCTGAGCATTTTTGCTCAAGGCTAGTGTTCTACCACCACTTTAAGCCACAGCTCCTCTTCTGTTTTTTAGGTGGTAAATTGAAGATGAGTCTCAAAGACTGGTTTGGAACCATGATCCTCAGATCTCAGCCTACTGAGTAGCTAGGATTATATGCATGAACCACCAGCACCTGGCCCTCTTATGTTTTTGTCCTTTCTTTTTTGGTCAAACCCAGGGCGTTGCACTTGCTAGGCAAGCTCTTTGCCACTGAGCTATATTCATGCCCTTGTATAAGTTTTGATATTGTCTTTTCAGAAATTTTCCGCTTGGTGTAGATCATCAAATTTATGTAAACAGTACTGTACATAATATTCTACCTTTTTGATGTTTGTGGGGTGAGTAGTGATGTTCTGACTTTTATGGGATATTAGTAATTAGTCTTCTTTTTCTTAGCCTGGGTTAGAAACTTTATTAATATCTTCCAATGTGTTTTGGTTTACTTGAGTTTTTCTAATGATTTCCTGTCTTTACTTGTTCTGATGCTTATTAGGTTTTTTTCCCCCCATTTCTTGGGATTTATCTTGCTCTTTTCCCAATATTCTTAGATTGACAATTTTAGATTTTTCTTCTAGTATATGTTTTATATAAAATTCTCTTAAAGAATTTTACTGCATCACTTTGATAAACTGTATTTTCAACCACCTTTTGTGCAAAATTATTTCTTTAGACTTCTTTGGCCTCTGTTACTTAGAAGTGTTATTTAATATGCAAGTATATTGGGATTGTCTCTGTTATTAGTTTCTATATTAGTTTCAAAGTAACCTGAGGTGATGCTCTTTTTTAAATGTTAGGGCTTTTTCTTGGGGGAGGGAGGGAGCTGCCTACCTTGATAGATTGTTCAGTAAGAGCTTGAAGAGAATGTGTAATCTTCTGCACTGGGGATGAAATATTCCAGATTCCAGTTGATGGACAGTGCACTTCAATCCTTAATGATTCTGTCTGGTAGATTTGTCAATTACTAGTAGAGGATCATTTAAGTTTCCAAATATAACAGTCTATTCCTGTTTCATCTATTTCTTCTCGTAATTCTTTCATTTTTTTCCTTCATTATTTGGCATATCTATCCTAAGGATTATTTATCTCCTACTGAAGTAGGCACCTTTATAATTATACAATGCCCCTCTCCATCCATACCATTTTTCTTGCTCTGCTTTTTCTGAAATTAAAAAGCCATTCCAACTTTGATTAATATCAGGATGGAATATCTATTTCTGTCTCTCTCCCTCCTACTCCTTTTTCTTTTCTTGGTCATGTCTACTCATTAGTTTTTTGCATAGTAATCATATCTAGTTTCAAAACTCAGGCAGATAATTCCAACAGCCTTGCTATATTTCAATGATTCTGATGGTTTTTTTCTTTTCAAACAGTATTATTGTTTTTGTCTTTCTTGTTTGTTGCATGCTTGAGATGCTATACTAGGCAAAACGAAGTCCAGTTAATAGGCTTTCAATGATGCAGCAGTAACGAAGGTAAGAAACATTTATTCCACGGCAGGTCTTTCGTGAAACTAAGCTCCTGGACTATGATTTTCTCCCATCTCTCATCCTTTCTTATGTGAAGCAGGAAGGCCCATGTGGGCTGTAGCTATTTCCTTTCTGCCAGCTTGTTAAACTCTGAGAAAATCCAACTGAAGTGTATCCAAAATGGTTACTTTTTTCTCATAGCCTTTCTGGAAGCACATTGAATTTTGCAGGACTTTTATTGTTGTTGTCGACGTTTTGGTTTTTTTTTTTTTTTGCTAATATTTACTATGACCTCATAGGAACTTGGAAGTAAAACTCAGAAGAAAAAATACTTGTATTATTTCCCCCATAAAGTTTGCCTCCATTGGGCTGGGAAGGTGGCTCAGTGGTAGAGTGCTTGCCTTGCATGCCTGAGGCCCTGGGTTCGATTCCTCAGCACCACATAAGCAAAAAAAAAAAAAAAAAAGCCGGAAGTGGCGCTGTGGCTCAAGTGGTAGAGTGCTAGTCTTGAGCTGAAGAGCTGAGGGACAGCGCCCAGGCCCAGAGTTCAGGCCCCACGACTGGACCCAAAAAAAAAAAGTTTGCCTCCAAGTTTTTTCGTTGTAGTCCATGCTTGATTTCCAACAACTAGTCAACTACATTATGAGTAATTCTGCCTAATGGTATCTCTGGTGGTACCAGATAAACGGTGACACTATGTCTCCAATTTAAAGGCTGATTTGTCCTGTGACTTCAAGTCTCTGATGGAACAAAGAACTGATCTTCTCTTTTCAGCTTTTTTTTGTGTGTGTGTAAGGAGGGGAGAAAAAGGTCAAGATTTTTGACTAGATTAATTTGTAAAGTTTTTCTTTCTCTTCTGACAGTACTGTGGTTTTGAACTCAGGGCCTCATGCTTTGCTAAGCATTGTCTCACCAGAGCCATGCTTCCAGCCATTTTTAGCTTTTATTTTTCAGATAGGGTCTCTTGCATTTGCTCAAGCCAACCTTGGACCATGATTCTACTTTCAGCCTTGAGCATAGCTGGAACTACTGCTGTGCACCACCATATCCAGCTTCTTCTTTGAGATAAAGTCTTGCTAACTTTTTATCTTTTGGGCAGGGAGAGGGAGGCTGTGCTAGTCTTGAACTACAATCCTATCTCTTGTCTTTAAAGGAACTTGGATTACAAGTATGAGCCACCATGCCTAGCCAGGTCTTTTTTTTTTTTTTTTTTTTTTAATGGATAGTTTAGGTAAGAATTATTTGTCACAAGGGGCTGGGATGTAGCTCAGTGGCAAAGCGCTTGCCTAGCAAGTGCAACATCCTGGGTTCGATTCCCAGTACCAAAAAAAGAAAAGACAAATATATATATATATACTGGGGCTGGGAAGGTGGCTCAGTGGTAGAGCGCTTGCCTTGCATGCCTGAGGCCCTGGGTTCGATCCCTCAGCACCACATAAGCAAAAAGAAAAAAGCCAGAAGTAGCGCTGTGGCTCAAGCGGTAGAGTGCTAGCCTTGAGCTGAAGAGCTGAGGGACAGTGCCCAGGCCCAGAGTTCAGGCCCCACGACCAGACAAAAAAAAAAAAGAATTATTTGTCACAAACTACTCACTAGATGAATTGCTTTTTTTTCTGATTTTTTCTTAAAAGGTTTTAGTTGGATGTTTTACCTTTAAATCAATGGTGTACTTTTGGATTATTCTATCACAAATTGTAATTGACAAATTATCATCTCACCATGCACTGTACTAAAACTAATCTGGTAAATATAAATTTTGATTGAAGAAAAAGTGGGACACATTTATTTTTTTCTGGCAATAACACTGGGCGTGCTTAAGATTCAACATGAAAACACCACAAGGCAGAGAATCATAGGCTGCTGGAGGCAGGAATAAAAAGAAGAGTACTTGGAAAATTAACTCTCCCAGGTTTTTGCTTACTGATCAGATCATACCAAACCTAAAATTAATAAAATAGAAAAGATCTGATCCATTTATATGCAAATTTTTTAAAGCATAAAGCTTACCTTAAATCAGTACTTCCCAAATCAGTCATGTCTGGCTTACATCAACAAATTTTCCATATCTGCTTACAATCTTGTAATTACAAATAATTTCTTCATTACTTCTGACTAAACTGGAATTTATAATTTCTTTTACACTTTTGGTAGTATCAAGACAATTATCAGATGTTGTACAGTATATCAGGTATCATAAATAAAACCAAATTTGTTATCATTATTATTTTCTTATGTAGGTTTAATATAAATATATTGCTCAATTTTACCATAAAAATTTGGACAGGCCTACTATTCTCTTTGAATGAAATGGCACAATGTTGTCGTCGTGGCTGGGGAAAGGGCTGAGTGGCTAACTGGGACTCTGGTAGCAGTGCTCACTGCTGTACTGTGAAGTGTATATACATGGTCAACACTGCTACCTTCATTTGCAAGTGGACCAGCTGAAAAGTAAAAAGACTTGTCATTGACTTTATAATCACAATTATCTGCCATCAAATTATTCATGTCCAGGTACAGCTGCAGTTGCAATTTTCTTTCCAGGGAACTAGAACAAATTACTCATGTCCAGGTACAGTTGGAGTTGCAATTTTCTTCCCAGGGAACAGAAGTCTGTCCAGTGCATAAAGCTGTTTTGTTGTTTTTTTGTTTTAATGATCATAGTCAGGTTGTCTTAGTCTTTAGAATTTCCGGATTTCGTCCTTGGAGGAGATCAGGATCTTCCCAAGGCCTAGGGCCTCGAATATTCTTCCAGTCTTCAAAAGTGGAGTCCTTTATTTTCTATAGAATCATAAAAGTTAAAGTACACATATTAGTGCAGAAGCCCTATGGTTTTGATTGGAACATCAGTGAATGAATGAAAAGTGAAAAGAAAAAAATCTAAATGATCCTCAATTACAATTTTAGCAAATAAATCAAACACAAACTAAGCAAACTAACTAGAAATAATGTCATCTTTCTTAGGATTTAGAATGTTTCTTGCTTGCTATTAATGTTGATGGCCTATCTTTTGCCCCATATTAAATAAACTATTAATATAGGAAAGAGTCTATAAACCTTGCTTTTGAGAGCACAAGAAAGAAGCAGCTAAGAAAACAAGTCTAAATGTGAAGGGTGGCTGAACATGACTAAAGCATTATGTAATGAAGTTTGAAGTTAGTCTTATTCTTGCTAGGGTAGCCACTCTGCCATTTGACCCACATCCCTACTCCCTTCTTGCTTTTGTAATTTTTCAAATAGAGTTCCACATTTAAGCTCAGTCCAGTGTTGAATAAGATCTCCTATTTAGACTTCTCATGTAGGTAAATGGCAAGCACATACCACATCCAGCTTTTTTTTTCTGAAATGGTAGCTCATAAACTTTTTTCCTGGCCTGGCTTTAATATTGTGATATCCTCCCAATAGCCATCTCGCAAGTAGCTAGGATTACAGTTGTAAGCCACTGTACCTAACTGAAAACACTCTTGCAAAAAAATCCTGGAGTCTGTAGTAAACACAGATGAAGGAACAAAATTTTAACTCAGTGCAAGGAAGAAATATTTTCAAGTATGGTTATGAAATAATCAAAAAGTATGAAAAAAGTTTGAGTAAAGTAACAACTGTTATCCATATTAAATGCTTAAGAGAATTTAAATTTTTAGAAAAGAGGCAAAAGTGACAGAAAAAGTTTATGTAAAAACGTCAAGTCTTGCCAGCTGCTGGTGACTCATGCTGAGGAGGCTGAGTTCTGAGAATTGGGGTTCCAAGCCAGTCCAGGCAGTAAAGTCCGTGAAACTCTGCTTTCCAATTAACCACCAAAAGAGCCAGAGGTAGAGCTGTGGCTCAAGTGGTAAAGCATTATTCATGAGCAGAAAAGTTCAACAACACCCAGCCCAAGTTCAAACCTCAGAACTGGCAACAACAACAACAACAACAAAGTATAATCCTTAGTAGATCTTTTCAGGGAAAGATTCCCTGTAGAAATTCTACAAGACATGCTGTGGCCAAATGCTAAACTGCATTTTTCAGGCAGGACTGCTCAAACCTTACCACTTAGCAGCCAACAACCATAGCACTGTGAAGGAATACACCCAAGAAATGCTGAATGAAAGCGAAGTCAGAATTACTGGATGTAGAACCTGCCAAAGTAGAGATCTCTGCCTAGTATCTTGCTAATACCTTGATGCCAAGTAACACACCTAAAGGTCTGCTTTTAAAATAAATATATGCTTAAGAATAAGACCTACTTTAGACTACCCCTAAAAAAACTTAAAAACAAACTCTGACAAGATCCTTTGGGGCAACAATCTGGAGAACAAATCCCGAATTATAGACTTAGGCAATGCCACAACCTTTCCATAGGTCCTCCCTTACAAAGCAAAAGCAGTTTAAACTGATTAGCTGATAACTGCCTGGTAAAGTAAAATTCAACACTCTTTAGAATCTTTTCAATGTCCATCTTTTAATTAAAAATGACCAGACATAAAGAAGATGACTGAAGGTACAAAGAAGAAAGAAAATAGGGCCCAGTCAAGAACTGAACAGAACTAGGCCAGCCTTGGTGATACATGCCTGTAATCCCCACTATTCTTATTTTTACAGCTTCCAGGTTCTCTATCCAACTTAATAGGCTTTTCTAACTCAATGCCACACACACACACACACACACACACACACACACACACACACACACACACACACACACACACACACCTTAATAGGCTTTTCTAACTCAATGCCCCCCCCCCCCCCCCACACACACACACAATCTGCATTTTTTTCCCCTCCTAGTACTTTTAGCATTTTGGGTTTTTAAAAACTCATGTGAGTAGGCTAGGATGTTGCCTTAGTGGTACAGTGCTTGCTAGCATGCATGAAGCCTTGGGTTCAATTCCTCAATACCACATACACAGAAAGGGCCAGAGTGGTGCTGTGGCTCAAGTGGTAGAGTGCTAGCCTTGAGCAAAGAAACTCAGGGACAGTGCCCAGTGTTTGAGTTCAAACCCCATAACTGGCACGCACCCACACACACATACACACACACTCCCACACACACAGGGAGTATGTGTGTATGTGTGTGTGTGTGTCTGTCTGTCTGTCTGCTGTACTGGGGCTTGAATTCAGGGTCTGGGTGGTGTCCCTCAAGGCTGGTGATCTACCACTTGAGCCACACCTCCATATAGCTTTTTGCTGGTTAACTGGAGAAAGAGTCCCATGGAATTTACCTGACCAGGCTGGCTCTGAACCATGATCCTCAGATTTCAGCCTCCTGAGTAGCTAGGACTACAGGTGTAAACCACCAACACTCAACTGTTATTTTTAAATTCTTGATCCATGTGGATTTATCTGTAGTATATGACATATGAATCCATCTTTATTTTGTCTTCAGAGGATTATATACAGGCTGATTATCCTTAAATCCATAATCTAACATCTGAAATGCTCAAAAATTTTCTGATTTTGTCTGCATGTATAGTTCAGAGGTCAAATCCTTGCCCAGCATGCATGAGACCATGGGCTCAACCCCCAGTATACAAAAGCAAACAAAAAAACAAAATATCATTCACAGCAAAACACACAAATATCCTTATATTCTACAGCATTTTGAATTTGGTTTTCAGATGCATTACTGGTGATGTTTACCTGAAAAACTCAAAAATCTAAAGTACTTAATGGCTCCCAGGATTTTAGTTAAGAAATATTGAATATGTAGTATTCCAAATAGTATGTATTTAAAACACTTTTTTTCATTTATCTTAAGGCAGACAGACCTGTGATGACTAGAACTGTTATATTGCACAGACTATTAACATACTGTACCTCATACTCTGACTCTAGAGATATTTTATTCATTTTCAGTTTTTTTTCCAGTTCAGGATCAATCTGTAGAAAAGAAAGAGGCGCTATAAGTTATTTAACTCTGCTACATTCAAGTTTCAGTTTCTGACGTTTCTGAAAGGGCTGGCTGGACCAGTGAGAACTATTTAATCCCCTCACCGTCACTAATCACAGAACAGCAGCTACTGCGTAACTTCCACCACTGCAACCGACAACTAGTATTTTCTTAACACTTGTGTGGGCAAGGCATTGTGACAGAGAAAAAAAAGCCTCTCAGTATTAGTTGTGGAACTTGAACTCTGGGCCTGGGCGCTGTCCCTGCGCTCTTCAGCTGGCTTTGAACTGCGATCCTCAGATCTCAGCCTCCTGAGTAGCTAGGATTACAGGCATAAGCCACGGGTGCCTGGCTCTAAGAATTATTTTTATCCCTGTTATATACAAATAAGAAAAATAAGGCCCAGGAGTCTGAATAAATTGTCAGAGATGTTCCTTGGCCTTTAATATTAGGTCTCTACCTCCAGAGGCCACACCATTAACCACCAACACAAATTGGGTTTCATAAACATATTATAAAAAATGCTGGTATTGGGGCTGGGAAGGTGGCTCAGTGGTAGAGCACTTGCCTTGCATGCCTGAGGCCCTGGGTTCGATTCCTCAGCACCACATAAGCAAAAAGAAAAAAGCCGGAAGTGGCGCTGTGGCTCAAGTGGTAGAGCGCTAGCCTTGAGCTGAAGAGCTGAGGGACAGAGCCCAGGCCCAGAGTTCAGGCCCCACTACCGGACCAAAAAACAAAAATGCTGGTATTTAAAAAAACAACAAAATGCTATAGATAAACAATAAAGGGATATCAATGAAAAAATTAGGGTTTAACAGTGGTGCCACCACTGTTGTGATGTACCACAAAGTCTTCAGGAAGGAAAGAAAGCTAAATTGAGTGGAACAGCTGAAGAGTGGTACAAACTCAACTAATACTACGGTCCTAAAGACCAAGCTCACCCTCAGTTCCTTTCATCAACAGCCCCTCCTCCCCAGCAGATCCCCTGCTGGATCTCAATCTAACTTCATCTGAGTTTGACTTCTCAACTTCAACATCAACTAAGCTCACCTTCTCCGTCCCAGTAGTTCTTTTCTTCCCACCTCAACCTTGCTTCTTACTCTCTTCCAACAGACAGATCTGAGCTCATTTTACCCTTATTCCCTTGAAATCAACTCTCCTTGACTTCTCAACTCAAATCACCCTTATTCTCTTGACCTGACAATTTCTGTCTGACATTCTAGACCTCCTCATACGTCAGCCTTTCTCTCACTCTCCTCCCTAAATGGGTGGTTAGCACAATTTCTCCAGTTCTCAAAATGAAAACTGAAGCAATCTACGAATATACAACATATATCACAATGATCATCAAAGGCTGACAATTTGCTACTGAAACAGTTTTCTGAAGCACGTTTATTTCTCTTTATTGCCACTGCAAATGCTTCCTTTCAGGTCCCATTCTTGTTCAGCTATTCCACTAATGCAGAGTCAAAACTCATGTATTTAAAGGTGTGGTCACCAATGCAACAGTGTTCAGAGGTAGGACCTTTGGAAGGTGACTTGATGATGAAGGCTTTGACCTGATCAACGGAGTGGTTATAATCCACCTAATGGGCCATTGGGAAGCCATACGTCTTTATGATGTTTCTTCCCTTCTATCTTGCTCCTCCAATCCCCAGCCATTCCATAGCCCATTGAAAAGGAAATGAAAATCTCAAATTCATACAACATGAGTCACTTCTATAGTCAACTCCTATTTAGTCTTTCAGCCAAATTCAAGGGTTGGTATCTTTTGCCTCACCTTAAGGTTCTTGTAATGTTTTAATCAAAATTTTACTATAGCATTTTTCTAGTTTGTTTGGGTTTTTTTTTTTGCTATTGTATATGTCTGGGTACATTTATGTAAGTGACATATCTTCTAGTTGTTTTTAATACAAATTTTATAGGACCAGTTTCTTGACACTTTATCTGACAAATCTAACAAACTATTAACATGACAAATATTCAGTTATTTTTCAAATACATGCACTGATATTCTATTTCCAGTTGTCAGATTATCGTAAGTTTCATGCTAAAGATGAAAAAATTGGGCTGTTAACTGAAACTGTCACCAGCTGGACATGAGCTTCTCAGCTACCCAGTTTCCACCTGAAATCACAGGACCTTGAGATACACACATGGAAATCATTTCAAGGGGTCTCAAATTATGAGTTTTGCAGGTAGAAGCTTCAGCAAAGATTTTAGCATACCAGGATAAAGGAGAAATAAGTAAGGGGGGAAAAAAGAAAGAAACAGCTACACTGGCCTTCTACAACAATATGAGCATTCATATTAAAGATTAAGAGAATACAAAGACTGTCCACAGACAAATCTGGATTACTAAGAACAGTGATTATATACTTCAAAAACAAAATACAGTCAAATTCCCAGTTGTAGTTCTTACCTTTATCTTCACAGCATCATATCGGATTTGTGAAAACTCACGAAGACCAAAGGAACCACCAACAACCAGCAACTGAAACAAAGGAAACAAAGAAAATAGATGTGTTGAATTCATCTTGTCAGTACTTATCTCCCAACAAGCAAAACAGACTATACAAAATCCTATAGATTATTTTTCCTGGTGAATCATCATTTATCTTTTCAGAGTAGACACAGTGGGGATTACTTTTAAAGACAATACACCTTTTACCTGATAGCAGAGTGATGGGGAATAGAAACTTAAAATGGAGGAACACTACAATTAAACATTTCAAATAAAACCAGTCTTTGTAAAAATCAAAGTAGCCCACCAAAGTCATGGTATGTCATAACATGTTTTTGAGTCCCCCGCCCATCTAAGACTTTATTCCACAGACTGAGTCAAAGCCAGCCCAGGAATACACACAAGACCCCCTTATCAACAACAGCTGAGGGAGGTGGTGTGCACCTATCATCCTAGATGTGTGAGAAACTGAGATTAGGAAGACTGCAGTTCCAGGCCAGCCTGGGCAGAAAAGTTGGTGGGCTACATCTCAATAGAAAGAAGTTGAAGGGGCTGGGAATGTGGCTTAGTGGTAGAGTGCTTGCCTAGCAAGTATGAGGCCCTGGGTTCAATTCCTAAGTACCACATACACAGAAAAGGCTGGAAGTGACATGCTGTGGCTCAAGTGGTAGAGCGATAGCCTTGAGCAAAAAAAAAAAAAGCTCAGGGACAGTGCTCAGGCCCTGAGTTCAAGCCCCAAGACTGGCCAAAACCAACCAACCAACCAAAGAAAGAAGTTGAGAAAAAATAATATCAACTTGAACATGAATGAAGTACAATAATTACAATCTATCAGACATCTGACATTACTAAAAGAATTGTCTTTTAATTTGTTCCTATATATTAGGTTTTAGAGTACTGAACACATCACTCTCCTCTACAGATCTATTGCATGCTTACAGTCAAAACGCAGAAAAAAGCTGGGAGCCAGTGGCTCACACCTGTAATCCTACCTATTCAGGAGCCAGCCCTGGCAGGAAAGGCTGTGAGATTATTATCTCCAATAAACTACTCAGAAAAAGATGGACGTAGCCCTGTGGCTCAAGTGGTAGAGTGCCAGCCTTGGGCAAAAAGAACTAGGTCAGCATCCAGACCTTGAGTTCAAGCCCTAGGATGGGCAAAAAAAACAACACAACATCAACAGAAACAATCCACGAGGTAAAATACATACATATAGAGCAGTGTAAAGTAACATACTAGGGAATAAAATTACTCAGGCACCTTCCAGTTCAAAAACTAGAACAAAGGAAGAAAACTCTACATGGTGCTTCAATGTACAGTACTTTTAAGATCTTGGATTTGATCATTCTGAAAGGTGAGAAAACCAAGCTAGCTTTCAGAAGGACCGACTGGTGATTACAACTAAATCAGTGTTTCTGAACAGCAGAGGGATCTACAGGGGACAGTTTTTACACTGCTCCAGTATTTTAGTTTATATAAATTATATTTTATAAAGAGAAAGAGTTACTCACAAAAATAGGTCTTTTTTTTTTCTTTTAGTACTGTGTAAATACAAAAGCTGGTAACTTAGGCTGGGCATCAATGGCTCAAGGCTCTAATCCTACTTAAGAGGTTGAGATCTGAAGATTCCAGTTCAAGGCCAGCCCAGACAGACAAATCTGAGAGTTTTTTTTTTTTTTGGTCGGCCATGGGGCTTGAACTCTGGGCCTGGACACTGTCCCTCAGCTCTTCAGCTCAAGGCTACTACCACTTGAGCTACAGGGCCACCTCTGGTTTTCTGGTGCTTTATTGGAGATAAGAGTTTCACGGGCTTCCTTGCCCAGGCTGGCTTTGAACTGGGCTGGCTCTGAACCGAGATCCTCAGATCTCAGCCTCCTGAGTAGCTAGGATTACAGACGTGAGCCACCAGCTCCTGGCTTCTGAGAGGTTCTTATCTTAACCAACAATAAGCCAGAAGTGGAAGTGTGGCTTAAGTGGCTAAGTTCTCACCTTGACTAAAAAAGCCAAATAAAAGAACAAGGCCCAGGCTGGGAAGGTGGCTCAGTGGTAGAGCACTTGCCTTGCATGCTCAAGGCCCTGGGTTTGATTCCTCAGCACCACATAAGAAAAAAGCCGGAAGTGGCGCTGTGTGGCTCAAGTGGTAGAGCGCTAACCTTGAGCTGAAGGGCTGAGGGACAGCACCCAGGCCCAGAGTTCAGGCCCTACGACCAGACCCAAAAAAAAATAAAAATTAAAAAAAAGAACAAGGCCCTAATTTCAAGATAGATAGGATAGTGCTAGGGCCTCCCCCAGGTTTGCCAGGCAAGTGCTCTACCACTTGAGCCATGCAGCCAGTCCTTTACACTGTATTTTTTAAACACCTTTTCTTGGAATGTTTTATGGCATTCACAGTAATATTGATGTTTGTGGAGCAAAATAATCTGTCCACTATCAAAAAATAAAGATAGTTGCCTGGATTCTTTTTTTTTTGTGGGTCCGGTTGTGGGGCCTGAACTCTGGGCCTGGGTGCTGTCCCTCAGCTCTTCAGCTCAAGACTAGCGCTCTACCACTTGAGCCACAGCGCCAGTTCTGCCTTTTTTTCTTTTTGCTTATGTGGTGCTGAGGAATTGAACCCAGGGCCTCAGGCATGCAAGGCAAGTGATCTACCACTGAGCCACCTTCCCAGCCCTAGTTGCCTGGATTCTAACGCTGGTTGGTTTAATATCAGCCACAGCCTGTAACCTTAAGGATTTGGTATCGAAATTTGAATTTCAAATTGCTTTAAAATATTAACTGTAGGAGGCTGAGATCTGAGGATCACAGTTTAAAGTGAGCCCAGGCAGAAAAGTCTGTGAGAATCTGATCTCCAATAAACCACTAGAAAACCGGAAGTGCCGCTGTGGCTCAAGAGGTAAAGCGCTCACCTTGAGCTGAAGAGTGCAGGGACAGCGCCCAGACCCAGAGATCAAGCCCCATGTGTATGTATATATATATATATATATATGTATGTATGTATGTATGTATGTATATGTATATATACATAAACATACACTGTAAGTTAATAATTTATAGGCTCATGCCTATAATCCTAGCTACTCAGACGGTTAAGATCTGAGGATTGCAGTTCAAAGCCAGCCTGGTTGAAAAGTCTCTGAGAGTTTTATCTCCAATTAACCACAAAAAGCCAGAAGTGGATATTTGGTTCAAATGGCAGAGCACTAGACGAATACAAAAGCCCACAGCCAGTGCCCAGGCCATGAGTTCAAGCTCCAAGACCGGCACAGTGTGTGTGTGTGTGTAAACTAGCACAGCAGCCACTTGCTGGCTGCCACAATATGGTAAGCACCGTGCTAACTAAATACTCCTTCCCCTTACAGGGGGGTTTCTGGTAGCCAGAATTCTTGGTCCTTTGTTGGGGACAAAGGCTCATGCACAAGGAACGATTCCTCTATATAGAGGATCTTGTATTTAGTTTCATTTTTGTTCTGGCTGCCTTTTGTTGTGGTTGTGGTTTGTCGTTGTTTTTGCCAGTCCCAAAGCTTGAACTCAGGGCCTGGACATCGTCCCTGAGATTCTTTTTGCTCGAGGCTAGCACTTACCACTTGAGTCACAGAGCCACTTCCGGCTTTTTCTATTTACTTGGTACTTTAGAATCAACCCCAGGACTTCATGCATGCTAGGCAAGCACTCTAGCACTAAGCCACATTCCCAGCCTGGCCATGTCTGGTTTTGGAGAACTGTAAACTCATTCCTCCGGTGTTATTTTGGTTCATCATAAGACTCTGGAAGAGAATTTAGTAATCATCCAGCCTGGGTTAAACTCTTGCGGACATCGCTCTCTGAGATGGTGTTTCCTTAGTTGTGAAAGTACTAGAACCAGAACCGTGTTTGAGACCACACACATCACAGAAGGGGAGGCGGACGAAAGTGACTGAAGGCCCTATCCTGGACCTAAGTAGAAGATTACCTACAAGTTCTCAACCGGTAGCCCAGCCCCTTCCTGGCCCCGGGTCCCGGTCCTCAGCGTCTTCTCCAGAGACCCGGCAGTCAAGACCAGGCCACATCAGGGCGCGGCGGTCGGGACAGGGACCGGGAGTCAGGGCCGGGCCGCGCCGAGGCAGTCGGGGCCGGGCTGTCCGGTCGGTCGCGGCCGGACCGAGGCCCTGGCGGCCGGGCCGGGCCCGCAGAGCTCCGCTCCCCCCGGCCATGGCGGTCGCCTCGCGCCACTCACCAGCATGGGGACTCCGTAGCGCAGAGTCCTGTTCCTGCGCAAAGTACGCATCACCGACGCCGCAACCATGGCCGAGCCCTACTGTCGGCCAGCACGGCTCGGACCTCCTCGGCTCCCCTTCAAACACACAGGCGGCCGGCTCACCTTTCCCGACCAACTTGGTGCCGGGTCCCTCCCTGACAGTCCTCCGCCAGACAAAAGCAATCGATGCGTCGTAACACACTACAGCGTCCGCCCGGAAATTAGGAGTCTATGCTTTAGTTCCGAACTGTCCGAGGTGACGTTGGGATTTCGGGATGGGAAAATGCGGCTCAACTCCCTAATGGATTGGAAGCCAGTACTTGACAGGCTCTGAGTCTTGACTAACGTCTGCTTTAGAACACTCCTAGAGCCACTGGATAAACTCAGCTAAGGGAAGAAATGGTATTTTAAAACTAGTTCTCTACCTGTCTCACTTGGGAGTGGGAATTTAAGTTTCATAAAAAGCTTTTTAAAGTAAATCGCTAGAAAGTAGGTTGAATATAGTCAGTGGTGTCTTACTAACGATCACTGAACAATTAGTACCAGTGTTTTATTGTGAGGCATCTTGAAATCTTATCATTTATGAACAATCATGCAGAAAACTCTAGGAGCCCAGAGATGAAAAGACGGAAAACCCTGCCTGAAATAAGCTGGCAGTCTGGTGGAAACGCAGTCAAACCTGCGCAGTACCGTATAGCTTCTCAATGTCACTTGCTGGAAGGAGTCAGAGAAAGCTTTGTCGGGTGTCATATAGTGACATCTCCGGTGCTATCCCTGAATCTTTCCACCCGCCCTGCCTCTCCAATGCCCCTAAAATGTTTCTGGCTATTGTTTTTCCACTTATTAAAAAAAAAAAAAGCTACTTCGCTTTGAGCAAAAGAAACTCGAGGACAGTGCCCAGGCCCTGAGTTCAAATCCCAGGACTGGCAGAAAGAAAAAGCCACTAAGTAGTCTTCGTGGTGGGGGGGAGGGGGGAAGGGGGGAGAAGTCTCCAGATCTAGAGACTATTCCAATGACACGTTTTTAGGAGTATAGGGTTAAGTTGAAAGAAAATAGGAAAACAAACAAGATTCTTGCCAATCTTCCAGAAGACTTCTACTGCCAGAAGACTTTTATTCAGATTCTCTTGTGTCGCCTAAACTGTTCGCTCCAGTTGGCTCAGGTATAGGGCTTCTCCCTGGAAGCAGCCCAAGTCTTCTCCCACGAACCTGTGGTCTCCTTGCAGACCCGCTCCACCCCCACTCCCACCCCCCAGCCACCCCTTAAGGCATCCTCCACCAGTGGGCAAGTGGGCCCAGCAGGAGAGCTGTGCACGGTGGCTGGAGAGTGGGCCGGGACCAAGTGGATGCTCCTGAGCTTCTAGGGATGCCCTGACCAGTGTCCCTGCTGTCCTCTATCACCGTCACTGCAGGGCCAGCAACCTTCTTCCCGCCCTCTGCCCCGCAGCCACAACTGTGGCTTTTCCTGCACGAGCAAGGATGGCCCAAAGGACAATACCTGCCACTCGTCGTAGTGATTCTAGTTGCTACATCTCCACCTGCAACAACGGGGCGACGGCAACACCTGCGGCTGCACCTGTCCCTCCCGCAGCATCTGGCAGTTCGATTCCAGCATGGGGGGCAGCGGGGACCCTGTCAGTATCTGCCCAGATGGCCGAACCTGCCCTCGCAACACAGACGACTGCAACCTTTTCCCTCGTTGCAGACACCTGGACAATGGCACAGACCTCGTGCTTCAACCGTGACTAAATAGGCCCCCGCGCCTGTTCTGTGACCGGGGCGTCCTCGGGGGCAATGTCATGGAAGTGACCGTGTCCTTCAGCCCTAGCAAGGACCTGCCCAACAGCAGGCTGATCCGGAGTGTGGCCTGCGCCGTAGTGGCCGCCCATGGGGTGGGCCCGGGACTGTTACTACTGCCCCCTGGTTTCAGTCAGGTGGGCACGTCGTCGGCTGGAATCTATGCTCTGCATGTGGTGGCTGACCGGCGTGATAGATCGTGTGTTCCCCCAGTCGGGCGTTCCCTGCAGCTGCCGCCACAGGAGTTTCCTACCTTTCTTTAGCCTTGTGTAGAAACAAAGTATCCTGGGATGGTTGCTATTTTGTAGTTTCAAGGTGTCACATGCTCTGTTAGTAGAGCAAAGTGTTTGTGTAACATTGGTTACCAGAGGTCATGGGTTGTTTACAGAATCTCCTTCCTAATTGGGTTTGGGTGATCCAAGGCTCTCAGTGGGATCTCTTGATGGTAAGCCTGGCCCTAGTAATTGATGTGGTTCTGGTGGCAGGCATAACCTGTGGTTAAGAAGTCACAGTGACCTCAGGCTGGCCAATACGCCTGGCCTGCTACTCCTGACCCTTCAGCCTGTCCTGGATCTCTCCTGTCTAGAATTCTCCAGAGATCTTCCCATGTTTTCGGAAGGGCCTCACCTATCTGCTGTTGCCCTTCATGAGACAGTGGTAGTATTAAAGCTTGTGACAAACTTGCCTCTGCATCTATTAGGTTGTGCTGTGCTCTTTAAACTACTGTATACTAGAAAGCCCTCATCAGCTACCTTATCTATGGTAGACCAATTCTCCAAACGTGTATACTAAATGAGTCACCCTGTGTATTTATAAATTAAAAATGAAGTAAGACTGTTTGCTATCCCTTCCCTAACCTCAGCAGCAGAAAGGTCAGAAGTCTAAACCTGAGAGATTAAGTCTAACTACAGTTACAGGTATACAAAAATATGGATTTATGGGACGCTGAAGCTGGCACTTAGGATTGAAGGAATGGATTTATAAACAGGGCTGCTATACTTTATAACAGGATCTTGTTTATTGCTGGTATTTATGCTTCATTTTGGATTAACATACAACTAAAAATTATCTCTGGGCAGAGCTGGAACTTTATGGAGCTATAGGATTTCCGAGGGAATTGTGAGCTGTGTAAGTTTTGTGGCCCTGGCTTTCACCACCACCTCCACTTTCCATGCAGTATCCACATGACTTACACCATGACTATAGGCTTTGGATCCTCCTTCTGTTAAAGCAGAACAAAGTATATTTTATAATGGTATAATTCTCAAAAGAGAATAAAAATGAAGACAGTTTCTCATCAGCATTGGGTTTCTTGCCTTTCCAGAAATGACTCCAGTTCTGTCTGAAGCACTCATAAAGTTTTCATATACTAACTCATACTTAGCATACATTTTTTTCTTTATCTTTTTTTTTTTTTTTTGGCCTGTCCTGGGGCCTAAACACTGGGTCTGGTGTTGTTCCTGAGCTTCTTTTGCTCTATGTGAGCATTCTTCCCAATCTGAGCCACTGCACCACTTCTGACTTTTTTTGTTTATTAGAGACAAGAATTTCAGTTTGGCTTTGAGCCATGCTCCTAGATCTCCTGAGTAGCTAGGATTACAGGAGTGAGCCACTGGCGCCCAGCTTTAGCATACATCTTGATAGAGGTTGGCTGGCTTGTCCCCACCACATTCGGAGTGAAAGAATGTTCTATTTCTTATTCTACATCATACGTTGGGCAGAAGCTCCAACAGCTGGGCTCTGATAATGCCCAAGTGAAGTTCTTGATTTTGCTGTAACAATGTCTGCATGTAATTCAATAAACAGCACACATGCATAAATATCAGAGTATTTCCAACTGATGTTTCACTCTGTAATCATTGATGTTGCCTGAGTCCCAGCTCCAGAGATTCCTATTTAGTTTGGCCTGAGGTACATGTTGTTTACAAGCTCTACAGGCAACTCTAAGCTGAGAAGACAACTACGAACACCAGGTGGTGAACCTCAGACTTTACTGTGACCCAGGAACTTGGTAGGCTTATTAAAACTGGCTGCTACTCTATTTCTCACTAGTAGGTCTGGGACAAAGTCCAAGAATTTACTTATGTAACAAATTTCCAGTTAATTCTGCAATTTTGCCAGAGACCTTGCTTGGTGAACCACTAGCACAAGGGAATATTACTGATATTGACACCTTAAGTCCAGATTTCAAAATCCCAATTCCATCATTATTACCTGTATAAAATTTATCCTCTCATCTTTAGTCTTTTTTTATAGCAATACTTAGATTTATAGCAATGCTCACAGCTATGAAACATGAACACATACTATACCATACTATCAATTGAAGTTTCGTACAGTGCCTTACACAGAATGTAATATTGACTCTCTTTTCCAATTATGAATGGCTAAACAGTCCAAATAATCACATTAAATCATTCACATGGATGTTAAAACTTGGCAAAAAATAAAATACATGACTTAAGCAAACAATATTTTATTAGAATTATATATAATACATAATGATAAATATAAGAAGTGTATTAAGTATAGGATCTTAAAATACCTACATTCAATTTTCAAAACTCAACATTATAATTTAGGTGGTAGGAACATTATATATAATCTATAAAGTAGTACAAATATCAGATTCAAACTATAAAGAACAGGAATTCTTTTACAACCTGTAATGGATTCAGATACCTCATCTGTAATTTTAGTTTTCCACAGAATCAAAAGAAGGTACATAACACTTCAATGTGCCTAAAACTTCAATATATTGGTCTTTAAATGCGATTTAATTTTCAAGAAAACCTAAATTATTTAAGTGCATCAGAATCCCCATTATTAACCAAAGCTAAGTTTCTATCAATGATGAGACAGGTGTTTTCCAGCTTATAGATATGACTAAACAAAAGAGGAAATAGCTTTCCCTCCTGCTTGTCATTTGCTTTGCTTTGTATATCTCAAGGTCTTTTAAAATTTAATGTCCAAACCTGGAAGGTAAGCAGGTTTAAGGCAGAAACTGCTGCATATGCCATCAGATATAAGGAGCATACCAAAGATTGAGCCTTCAATGGAGCTGGCTGAAACAAGAACTGGAATACTGTTGGTATTTCTATAATGAGTTGCTATCTAAACAAGTCTCAAGAAACCCACTGTCCAGTTCAGGTTGAAACGCATAAGGTAATGTGTCACGGTTGTTTATAAAAGTTTTTCCCTATCTAACGGTCGACTCAGAGGTAACATTTTTCTCTTATAACAATGCTCTTATGTGATAGTTTTTATTTTCTAAATTAAAAAACTGTGGTGGTGATCATCTATCTTCTTGTTCCTGCATTGTATTCTGCATGTTACCATTTATACTATTTTTAATTATTACTTACCCTGATGATATACTTTCACTTACTTTATGAATTCTCTTGACTACAACCTCCTGTTTTTCATTGTATACTTCTGCCACGGAAGTGCCCCAATTTTCAAAAACTTCTCTTTTGCGGTCTGTAATATAAACTTGACACCGACTTACAATGCCCTATTTATTGGCCAATTCAATGTAAAGTGTTTCCTCCCAACTGGAACAAAACATACTTTTGGGATGAAAGTTTGCAAAAGTGTCTTGACAAATCCCATGTCCAATCAGTATTTATTAAATAACAGCTAGATTGTCTATGCTAAAATTGATCTAACTGATTGCCTCAGGCATAGTCTAGACAATATTAGGTTGAAATATGTAAGCCATACAATCTGGCCAAGTTATTTTGAGGATAGAAAGGATTTTCTTAAACCCAGAAAATTAGTCTTGGTTCAACTATCCTCAGTGCTTCAAAACCAACTTAAGTACAAGAACAGGATGGTTCCTACCTCACCAGCATCCCTGGATCTCCTAAAGTCCATTCACATGCATTCTCCTTCCCAGACTTCCCCAGAAAACACCCAACAAATCCCCCTTCCCTAAAACAAAACTCATTTCCTTCCTTCCTCTGAGAAAAACAAGTTTATTCACTAAGTAATAAAAACCATAACTAGTATTTAGAGCCTTTGAAAAAATAGTAATCCAGGCCTTTTCAGCTTAACTGAGAAGCAGAGCTGATTTCTTCTCTATCCTGCTCGAAATCAGAGAATGGTCAGAAGCCTACAGGGATTCAGATGCCACCTGAGGCTCAGTCTTTTCTTTTGTTGTCTGCTGGTTTGGTTTGGCCCCATTACTTCAGCCCTGGCCATAGCCATCTCAGCACTAGGGTATCCTGTCACAATGAGGCACCACAAAAGCCATCAGGTAGCACAGAGCTTGACAAAATTTATCTGAATAGCTCAAAGTTTTTTGAATAATCAACTTGAACAGAGCTATTTTATAATTTACCTCAATATCATCATAGGTATTATGAAAAAAATGTTCTGCTAATTACCTTTCTGACTCTTGAGCACCCTCTTAAAAGCTCCCTCATCCCCACTATGTATGCTCTACAAAACAGATCTTTAAAAGTTCTTCAGTTAGGATCACCTCTTAGATCAGAAACCAAAGCAGTTTCCTCACCTCTTTAATTCTCCATAAGGCATCAATATTATACTGTCACATACAAATGTGTGTATGTATACCTTGTCATTTGCTTTTTTAAAAAGTAAAAAGCTCTTCTTATTCTCCTGTGTCCAATATAGGCACTCAAGAACGTAGTTAGAAAGTATTAATAAAGGCCACAAACACTTCCCAAGGAAGATCATTAAGTAAAAAATCCTCTTCCTCTCATGTAATAATCTGGCCTTCTATGCCAGTTAAGAACAACTGTGTAATCCATGGTGGCAGGAAGACGGGATCGTTCCCTCTTTGGATAGTAGCTGAATTTTTATTGGCAGTCCTATTAAAATATGTAATTCCTCATTTGTTCTAAACAAGTCTTAGCTTATGTTCAGCTTTCCTTCAAAGAATATCTTTACTCTCCCATCAGAATATAAACATTTGGAGATTTGAACAGCAAGGTTCTAGGTAGGAATCAAGTCACTTTCAATAATGTGTTGGTTATGCAGAGAAGGGGGAAAGATATGGAAGAACAGCAGGGAAGGAGGGTAAGAGAAGCATAAGTTCACTGGGAGCACTGGCAGGAAGCAAGTCTTTCAAAGCTGTTGTCGGTATTTCATGAAGGCCCAGGCTGCTACCATAGTGAGAGCAAACACTGGCAACAGCATCACAGCTACAGGAATACTATTTGGCTCCCCTTCACCTCGATGTCCTATAGGTCCATTCTGCACCTGTAACTGGAAAGGAAGGATAAATGTTAACTCTAATGACTGACTGAAATGTCCAAGTTGACACATCACCTGGGGCAGCTGGTTATAGACCACCTGAGCTCACTGTGAACCCCAAGCACTTCCTAGCAGGAGTTCTCTGTCCTCAGCTGATATACCTTTATCACAAATTCTTGGGAAGAAAGTAAGTCTGATGAGGAAGCATTTAAATTTGCTGTGCTATTGACCTAATGGTAGCCTGGAGGGTACATGAGAACATTTGTTTCTATACTGCCTCCATCTCTAGATGTGTTTCCTGTAGGAAAACGAAAACTGGATTAGGGAAAAGGACAGTAGGAAATCTTTCTAGAATGTTTACTTGCAAAGACTATCAGTCACTCCAATGCAGTAAGCAGACCCAGACAATGTCAAAACAGGTGCTATGTCATTATTTGACAGCCCTAGTAAAATATGTAATTCCTCATTTGTTCTAAGCAAGTCTTAGCTTATGTCCAGATATCCTTCAAATATCTTTACTCTCCCATTAGAATGTAAACATTTGGAGGTTTTAAACAGCAAGGTTCCAGGTAGAAATCAGTCATTTCCAATTTTGAAAGGTGAAGGTACCAATGAAGGTATCTCTCCCTCCTAAGATGAGTTCTTGTCCTTCATGCTTTAATTTGTAATACTAGAGAAATATAAAGGTGGAACCTTTATGGAACAGAGGTTGAAGACTCAGAAGTAAATAAGTAAAAATAAACTATACCTTAGCATTATAATTTTATTCATTAACCTTTTTAGGTTAGATCGACTTTTCTTCATTTTTATTTTTTTCCAGACTGGCTCCTTTTTTTTTTTTTTTGGGTCCGGTCGTGGGGCCTGAACTCTGGGCCTGGGCGCTGTCCCTCAGCTCTTCAGCTCAAGGCTAGCACTCCACCACTTGAGCCACAGCGCCACTTCTGGCTTTTTTTCTTTTTGCTTATGTGGTGCTGAGGAATCGAACCCAGGGCCTCTGACATGCAAGGCAAGCACTCTACCACTGAGCCACCTTCTCAGCCCTCCTTTTTTGTCTTTTATTACCATAAAGTGTTCAAAGAGCCTTATCATGGTATTTCCATAAATGTACACATTGTATTTTAATTATATCCACCCCCTCCATGGCTCCTTTTTTTTTTTTTTTTTTGGGTCCGGTTGTGGGCCTGAACTCTGGGCCTGGGCGCTGTCCCTTAGCTCTTCAGTTCAAGGCTCTGGGCCTGGGCGCTGTCCCTTAGCTCTTCAGTTCAAGGCTAGTGCTCTACCACTTGAGCCACTGCACCACTTCCAGCTTTTTTTCTTTTTGCTTATGTGGTACTGAGGAATCAAACCCAGGGCCTCATGCATGCAAGGCAAGTGCTCTGCCACTGAGCCACCTTCCCAGCACTCCATGGCTCTTCATTGTCCCCTTTCTCTCCCCCTTTCATGTGCTTTTCTGCTTCTCTTAGTAGTCATGACGTTAAGGTTTTGTTTTGTTCCGCTTTGTTTTTCCTCTAGCTTCCACAAATAAGAGAAAACATATGATATTTGTCTTTCAGGACTGGTATTTTTCACTTAACCAAATGATAACCAATTCTGTTTTCCAGTATACAATATAATTTCATTCTTCTTAAATAGCTAATTAAAACTCCACTATGTAGTAGACCATGTTTTATTTATCCATTCATCTGTTGATGTGCTCTTAGGCCAATTCCATAATTTGACTATTGTAAATAATGCTGCAATAAGCATGGGTATATAGGTATCTCTGTAATATATACTTAGAAGGGGTACAGCTAGCTCATTTGGAAGTTGTTTTTAATTTCTTGAAAAATCCCCATAGTAGCTGAACCAATTTACATTCCCACCAGCAGTCAGTAAGAGTTCCTTTTGAAACAATGTTCTTTTTTTTCTTTTTGTCGGTCATGTCAGTGCCCAGGCCCTGAGTTCAAGCCCCAGGACCAGTACCAAAACAGAAAAAAGGAAAAAGAGAATTCATATTATATATAATTTACTTGCCTTATCTACGAAATAAATCCTCCCATGTTTTAGATACAGAGAAGAGCCAAGGCTCTTGGAGACCTAGGTTTTGAACTTAGAACCTTGTGCTTCCTAGACAGGAACTCTACCACTTGAGTTATCTTCCCCTAGGTTAAATGCTTCATCATCAAACTGATTTTCTTCCCTTCTTGCTTCCATAATTTTTCAAATAGATTCTCAACTATATGCCCTGACTGACCTGGACTGTTTTCCACCTATATATACTTCTGGCATTAGTGAAGATGACAGCTGCTTGCCACCACATCTAGTTTTTATTGGCTCAGATAGGATCTGGTGAACTTTCTGGCCCTAGGCTGGTCTCAAATCATGATCTTCCTCTTCTCTACCTACCAAGTAGATGGAATTACAAGCCTAAGCCTTTTGCACTTTTTTTTTCTAGGTCCTCTTAATCTTTTCAGCTTCTGAATCCTGACCTAGCCACTAAGTGAGACAGCATATATTGATATAAGAAGCAGCAGGCACATTGAACTTTAGTGTTATGAGATAAATCTTATCTACTCAGGCTTCATTTCCATTACCCAAAGTATAAAACACTAGGAAATAGGAATCAAAATGCAAGCATAGATGTGGTTTTGGCTTAATTCTCCATTCCATTTCCTTTTTCCTAGAGTTTTGGTCAAACCAAATAGAGTCCATGGCAGTGATAGGAAAAGTCCCCATTATATACAGATAGGTCAGACAGACAGATATCCCTTATAATATATATTTAATATATGCACTTCCAGAGTAGGTATACAGTTCTTTTCCCCACAAAAAGTGAAAGTGATTCTATTTTTCCTTCATCTATTTTAATTTGATTATGAAGCTTTAAAGAATATTACCTTGAAGGCAGAACCTGAATAACAAATATTGTGTTTTGAAATTTTTTCATGATGAGCAAAATTACCAGAGGATCCCTGCTGTGCTAGACAAGCTCCTTAAAGTAGTGATAATAAGCAACGGAACAAGATTAAATACACACATTTACTCACAAGAACAGTGCAAAAAGTCTTGTGCCAAATATCTGATACAAGTGGTCCTTACCCGGTGCTGTACTCTCAGGGACACAGCATAGCCTGCATTACGAAAGAGGTCCACAGCATCCTGGTGCAGTAGGTTCTTTAGGTCTTGGCCATTTACCTGTCAAAAATAGCAAGAAAGAGTAATAAGGGAGGCAAAGGCTAAATGCATAAGTCAAATTTACTTTCATGTGGCCAAATCTAAATTTAAAAAAAAAAATCTGTTTCAGAGAAAATTCCAAGGGCTAGAAGTATGGGCAGTCACCTAGAACTAAAGTGTTACTTTTCATTTGCAGCTTCTTTTCTAGAACTGAGGTTCAATGGGCCATTTGAAGAGAATCTAGGTTAAAATACAGTGTTTTTTGCTTGTCTTTTCTAATATGATCTTCCAGGTTATCATACTATCTTTCCTAATCCCAACCTTGAAAACAATTCTATGAAACTCTCCTCCAATTTATTTTAATAGGGTGTAAATCTATATTCTATTAGTGCATTCTACAAGGCTTGTTCTATTATAAACTACATCCCTTGATTCTGTGGATATTCCAATCCACTTCAAATTACTAAAACCTGTATACTGTGATGATACAAAGGACCATTTCAGTGTATTACTGAAGTTATTCTTACCACTTAAAGGTGATAGATGGGAAGGAACACAGGTATTATTACTTTTTGAGTTTGGCCACAAGTGGCATCTATGCTACACTGCAAGTCAAACACACAGCCAACTTTGTGCTTTTATACATGCTCCTATCATCATTAATAGCAAGAATATTTAATATACTTACTTTTTTTTTTTTTGCTAGACATAGGGTTTGCATTCAGGGCCTGGGCTTTGTCCCTGAGAAATTTTGCTCAAGGCTAGCTCTCCGCCACTTCGAGCCACAGTGCCACTTCCAGTTTTCTGGTGGTTAATTGGAGATAAGAGTCTCACGCATTTTCTGCCTGGGCTGGCTGTGAATCACCATGATCCTTAGATCTCAGCCTCCTGAGTAGCTAGGATTACAGGTGTGAGCCACTGATACCCAGCTAGATTTACTTTTGATAGGTACTTTATTTTACATACAATATCTAATTTAATTTTCACAATAAACTTATGAGGTACACAGTATTTTTTTTTATGTGCTCCCTGATGAAAACTGAAGTTTAGTGAGACTAGTGAGCGTAGGAGCTGGGGTTAGAGTTTTCGTATAATGGAAGTATCTCTTAGATTTCACTGTTCCTTCACCTCAATTCACCAATTATCTTTCCTCTGCTCAAGCCATTCACTTTTCTAATCATCTCATCTTCCTGTCACATCTTTCTCCAAGGTTCATAATGCTCCTGCTACTCCATCTTCTGCAAATGTCCTCAATGAGTGATCTGTCAATGCTTTTGTCTTATACATTATTTCCAAGTTTCAGCTCCATTCCACTTTAGGTTACCAAATGACTGACATAAACTCAGACTTCAACATTAGACATGGTTTAGCTCAATATCACAAAAACCTGACTATATTTCTATTTTCATACTCTTTATTATTCCTATTCCTCTACTGATTTCCTCATTAGCCTCATCTTTTTTCACACTTTACTGGCATCCTTACCCATCTAGAAGTTCCGGTTGTAATTTCAACAAAGCACTTGGTAAATCATTAGAATCCCTTGTCCCCATGATCTTCTGCCATTTTTCCAGTCTCAGGCAGCATAATGCATCTACCTTTCTTGCCATCATTGAGTTGGATATTCCTGGAGAAAGACACAGTCACACTCTCCACTGTAGATCCAGGTTAGCTGACTACAACTTATCCTTAAAACCATCTTACTAATCAAGCAAACTCACAAATAAATAGTTGATGCTTTCTGCCTCATCAAACCCCATCCCAATTCTCTACCTCCTCTCAACAGATTTTGTTTTCTAACTTTTGTGAGAATATTGAAAACATCTAACATTCTCTCCCCTTTTTCCTTTTCTCCTCAACACTTATTAATATCTCACTACTCTTTCCTTTATTAAAGCTAAAGGCACTGATGCTCCAGGTTGTAGTCCTTCCAGTCTCCTTATGGAACCCACACAGCATTAGCTCCACTTGATGCCTTGTTATTTTTTTGCCACTCCTCAACTAAAATCATGAAGTTTATTTTATTAAAAACAAAACAAAAACAACAACAAGCAAAAACACCACAACATGAGCCAGGGCATGTCTGTAATCCTAGCTACTTAGGAAGCTAAGATCTGAGGATTGAGGTTAGAAGCCAGCCTGGGCAGGAAAGTCTGTGAAACTCTTATCTCATCTGAACTGCCAAAAAAGCCAGAAATGGAGCTGTGGCTCAAGTGGTAGAATGCTAGCTTTAAGCAAAAAGGCCAGGGACAGAGCTCAGGCACAGAGTTCAAGCCCCAGGAGTGACACAAACAAGAAAGAAGAAAACAACACAAATATTTCCTGGAATACCCTTACACATCGCATATTTCCTTCACTTAAAACTGCTGAAAAGTTAAGTGCCAGTAGCTCACACCTATATTCCTAGCTACTCAGGAGGCTGAGATCTGAGGATCATGGTTCAAAGCCAGCCCCAGCAGGGAAGTCTGAGAGACTCTTATCTCCAATTCATCCATCACCAGAAAACCAGAAGTGGTGCTGTGGCTCAAATGGCAGAGCACTAGTCTTAAGCTGAAGAGCTTAGGGACAGACCTAGGCCCAGAGTTCAAGCCCCATGACCAAAAACAAACAAACAAAAAACCAACTGTTGAAAAATGGTCATTGCCTCTACTACCACAGCATCCATTCATTCTTTAACTCCTAGTATACACAATGTAAGAGAAGAGCAAGCTCTCCTAAAGGCTAGTGACTTCTCATTGCCAATTCTCTTAGCCCTTTTCTAACCTTCATACTAGCTCCTCCATTTTGCAATTTTCTGGTTTAGGTTATGAACATTTCTCTTCTTACTCTCTTACTTCTTTTTTTTTTTTTGTGAAAATACTGTACAGAGGGGTTACAATTACATGGGCAAGATAATGACTCTCTCACTTCTTAAATGAAGATTCTTCTCCTCTTTCCTTCAAAGATAAATAAGTATACTTCACTACAGTGTATCTTCTTCCTTTCTCTCCCAGTGATTTAACTTTACGAATAATCTGTAAGGGGCTGGGAATGTGGCTTAGTGGTAGAGTGCTTGCCTGGATTCGATTCCTCAGTACCACATAAACAGAAAAAGCCGGAAGTGGCACTGTGGCTCAAGTGGTAGAGTGCTACCCTTGAGCACAGAGAGGCTAAAGGACAGTGCCCAGGAGCTGAGTTAAAGCTCCAGGACCACAAAAAAGACAAATAATAAATTTTAAGACAGCTCCTAACTCTAATAGTTAGAAATATACCAATCCTGCTGGGTGATCATACTTGGATATTGTTTGATGCAATTCAACACTTTCAAAACATCTTCACAGCTACCCACAAACCAGAATATCCTGACTTCCTTCTTATTGCCGCTACCATTCCTTCTGACAAAAATCTTGGTAACATTTCTATACTCTCTGTATGGTTAACCTTTACATATATTTGTCAATCCTATAGTCTAACATGACATCTTTCATAGGTTACTTCCTTTCCTGTGGCCTCTATGTTAGACTGTGGACATTCTTCATTCAATTAGATTAGATTGCCTTCTCTCTGGCTCACTTTCCTATGTCTCTACCTGTAACAACCCTTCAGATCCATCTTCCTACAGTATAATTCTATTAGTACCATTTTACTGCTCAAGACACAAAAGTGATACAGGGGATCAAGGAAATGCGATCTCACATACTTGATTTCTCCTGCAAAGTCCTAACTCACCTCAGTTTATACCCTTTCATATATCCTATGCTTTGGCCCAGTCACAGAGCTCACTGACACTGGTACCTAGAACATATTTTTATCTTTCATACCTGTGCTTGTTATCTCTTCCACCTAAAAGCCATATCCTTTTCAGATTTCTATTCATTTTCCAATATTGACCTTTAAAAGGATAAATCCAACTACCTATAGTAGAAAAGTAAATGCAGTACTCTCCAGCTGATGGACTTTGGTATCAGATGCAATTTTTCACTTCTGTTTATACTTTGGTTTTCTTGGTAGATATGCCAAAGGTGAGGAACTTCATAATGAATTCTCAGTGACTTATATTGCTAGTTAACTCCTAGTGAAGAATTATAGTAAGAATGCTCACTTACATATTCCATCCAGCCTATGTGTTAATTATATTTCTTGTTGCAAAGATGTTCATGTTATTTTCCATTTTCCATTAGAGATATTCAAATAAATCAAGCTGCGGTCATGTCAGCAAATGCCAAATCCTTATCAATTCATCAGCACCAAAGTTTCATGGTAATATGAATGTTAAGTGAGATATTCTATGTTATTTGTGGTAGGAATACTGACCTTAAAATAATATTTGCTACATTAGTTAGTAATAATTCCAGCAATTATTTAACATTTATTATCTTGTCTGGAGCTTCCTATTCATTCTACATATACTAATTCATTTAGTCTTCACAATAGTTCTGGTAAGATAGTACCTCACATGTTATAAGTAATAAAAACAGAAAAACTATGTCATTTGTCCACACTGAATGGAAGGAACAAAGCCAGGATTCAAACTTTAGCAGCCTAGCTCTTTAAAGCATTAATCTATATGAATTTACACTGTAAGCAAGGATTTTACTTCAGAAACATATTACTATCACATTCATGTTGTAAATTAAATTTTGTGATTTTGCAATTTGGTTTTTATTTAGTGTTGCATTTGTTTTGCATTCATGAGGTTTGAACTCAGCTTTAAGCTTGCTAGAAAGGGATTCTACTATTTGAATCCCCACCCCATCCTCACCAGCCCTTTCTAGTTTTACGTGTGTGTGTGTGTGTGTGTGTGTGTGTGTGTGTGTGTGTGTGTGTGTGTGTGTGTGTGTGTGTGTGTGATTTTTGTCTGGGGTTGGCCTTGCTAACCTCCTCCTGTACAGTTGGAAATACAGACATATCCCACCACACCTGGTTTATTGGATGACATGGGGGGTCTCAATAATTCTTTTCTTGGACTTGCTACAAATCACGGTCCTCTTGATCTCTGCCTTCTGAGTAGCTGGGATTACAGAAGTTAATCAACACACTTG